GTTTTAAGGACAGATCGAGTAGGTTGAGGTCTGAACCGCTGGAAGCCAGAGTATGGCTTCCATTTTGTTGACGTTTAATTGCAAGAACTTTGCGCTCATCCAGGCCTTGAGAACATTAGAGAACTGGGGGTCGCAGCTGGAGGAGGAGAAGTAGAGTTGAGTATCATCCGGAAGCTAACAAGGGAGCATATAGATGAGAAAGAGAAGGGGGCCAAGAATAATCCTTGTATTTTGATATAGCGCTTTTCACGTCAGGAGGACGTCCCAAAGCGCTTCACAGAACACACTGTAAAGTGAATTGACTGTATATTTGTGGGCAAACGCGGCAGCCAATTGCGCACAGCAATGTCCCACAAACAGTCGTAGATTGAAAATGACCAATTTAATTATTGTTTTTGGTAGGGATTATTATTAGGCGTGTGGAGTAAGGAAACTTGCCCAAGGTTTCGCCCTGCCTGGAATGCAGCATTGGGGTACCCTGCAAGTGACCGGGTGGGGGCGAGAAGAAAACCCATTTGCAGAAATGTAGTGCTGGCGGTTTGTAAGGTAGAATGCTTACATCATTCAAGCACAAATGCCAATACAGTACAAGCTTTACTGTATTAACCCTCACGTAGTAAGCACTAACTATAATTTTGAGCAGTATGTTTGCTCTCTCAGTCATTCTTCCCGACTTATTCCTTAATTTTAATCATTTTTAGGATGATAAAAAAATCTGATTTTTTATCATTCTAATCTTATTTTCAAAAACAACAACTTGAATTTTTCCTAAAGGTTAACTTCCTTCTCCTGTTGGCTCCACTTTCCACTTTAAAGTGGATTGTTGGAACAAGTTTAAAATAGTTCTGATTGATTGATACAGTAAACCCAGATCAATACTAGGATGTATCAAGACAGCAGAACAAAAGGACATTTTAGAATTGTAAGGGCAGTTTCAGGACAGACACCGAGAAGCTTTTCTTTACTCAAAGAATAATCAACAACTGGAACACGTTGCCAGGAAACTTGGCAGAGGCCAGGACACCAGCCTCAGCTTTATACTGAGTCACACGGCCCAATCACTTGTTACACACAGAGAGACGTACAGCCCAACACCCTCCCCCGTTTTGCATTATTAACACTTTTATTCTCTTGCTCTGTTGCAACTCCCCACATTGTTTGAATCATTAACACCTCTTTAGCTCATCATTCCCTGTCCTCTACCCCATTTTCTCCTTTATGTTCCTTGCCCTGCCTCCCCCCTTTCTGTTAGTCCTTAAAAGCCTTTCCCTCCCAACATGCCCCATTTCTGACAAAGTGGCGTGGAACCGAAACATTGACTCACTTTTCTTTCTCATGGACGCTGCCTGACCTGCAGAGTGTTCACAGCGACTTCTGTTTTTGAATAAGGAAGTTGCGCTTCACAGAGAACTCAAATTTCAGTTTAACAACAGTACCATGACTGTTCTCCATTTTAGAATAGGACGGCTCACAGGTTTTAATACATAACTTTTTCTGCCCTTAAGTAAGCATAATAAAACAGCACAACACCTTTATCTTTACTGTTAAACAGCAAAAGCTAATGTACAAGTTGTAACTTACTGACTCTCTGCCTTCCCTCACCCCTACACCACCGCACCCTCCCCCATGCTCGGCCCCGACACCTGACTGTTCAGCGCTTTGGGACGCCCTCGCGACGTGAAAGGCACTCTATAAATGTAATTTATTGTTGTTGTTGACTATGCAAGTAAGTAAGTCAGTGCAAGTACAGTGATGTCAATGGAAAATGACCCTAAATGAGAACTTCAATAATTTTGTGGTTACGATCAGCAATGAAATGCAGTTTTCTATATGGGGAAACTTCAAATCCAAGAGAAATAAAGGTTGGCACTTGTACACACAGCTTCCTCAAATGTTCCCACACCGGGGCAAAGAAGAAACCTCTTAAATGGAGAACAATATTGAAAAACAAGAACCAAGCTGAAGCCATGTCCATTGAATTAAATTTGAAAGCAAAAGCCAACCCGAACACAGAAATCATCTTAGGAAGTGTGGATGATGCAACCCTGATTTCCAGGGCAAGTCCGTGGTTGAGATATTGTGTCCCTGGCCAAATTTGCCCCGTCTTGAGTTCAGCAACAAACTGAGCCAGAGCAATAAAATTCTAAACCAGATACACTCAGCAGAGAAACACAGCCATGAATCCAACAAGCTTCGCCAGTACTGCCCGCATCTCGCAGGGATTGTAGAGTTCAATTTTTTTTAAATACATGCCCCTGGATTTGGTTTACAAAATATGATCACCCTAACTTATGTCAAAATCCATCAAGTTTTCCCATCCAGAACAAATGCTTCTCTAATCATTGTATTATTAATGTACAACAGTATGTCACTATTAAAACTCATTAGGATCAGATATTCATTTAATGAGCTTAGGTCTTTAACTGATAAAGCTTTGCACAGCATTAGAACAACGGTTTCTTACACTGAGGCTGATTAAAGATTTGACAACAACAATAACTTGCACTTATATAGCATCCTCCACACGGGGTAACCTCTCAGAGCGCTTAACAGTGGCGGAGCCTGACTCCGAACAGCGGGGTAGCCATAAGCATGGTCGAAGAGGAAGGTTTTCAGGCAGGACTTGAAAGACGAGGCGGCAAGACGGACGGCTTAAGGGAGAGTATTCCAGAGTTTTGGGATGTAGTGGCTGAAAGTGTGGCCTCCGATGGTGGGGTGGAGGGATGAGCAGGAGGCAGGTCCCATTCGAGCAGAGGCACTGGGTGGTGGATTGGGGTTGAGGAAGTCGGAGAGGTAGGGAGGTGCCAGAGAGTGAAGGGATTTGAATACGAGTGTGAGGATCTTATTGATTAGTTTGGTGATGGAGAGCCAGTGGAGCCTGGCCAGAACTGATGAGATGTGGGTATGAAGTTTGGTTCGGGTCAGTATGTGGGCGGCAGAGTTCTGAATGAGCTGGATCTCTTGAATAGTGGAGCTGGGGAGACCGGCGAGGAGTGCGTTTGAGTAATCCAAGAGGGAGGTGACAAACGCATGCATGACAGTTTCGGCTGCATTTGAGGTAAGATATTGTCGGAGGCAGACAATGTGGTGGAGTTGAAGGAAGGCTGTCCTGATCAGGGACTGGATGTGGGACAGGAAGGACAGCCGGGGGTAGAACCGGACGCCTAGATTGTGCACTGGTTTGGTGAGTCTGAGGGAGACCTAGGGAGATTGAGTTTAGATCTGCAGGAGTGAAGACGTTGATGGGAGCCAAAATCCGTCTTGTCCAAATTCAGCTGCAGGAAGTTTGCACTCATCCAGGTCTTGATGTCTGCCAGACAAGCTGATAGAAAATTGGCAGACCTGGAGTTAGTACTGGAGGAGGCAGAGTAGATTTATGTGTCATCTGCATACATGTGGAAGTTTACCCTGTGTCTTCAGATGACATCGCCCAGAGAGAACATATAGATAAGGAAAAGAGGACCCAGGATGGAGCCCTGGGGTACCCCGCAGGTGATCGGGCAGGGGCGGGAGGTGGTGGAGGAGGATTGGTGGTCAACTGTGTCAAACGTGGCAGAAAGATCCAGGAGGCAGAGGGAGCCCTGGTCACAGATCGAGAGGATGTTGTTTATGACTTTGACAGGTGCTGTTCTCTGGGCTGTGGGCAGGGTGAAAACCACACTGCAGGGGCTCGAGGAGGGAGAGGTGTGACCAAAGTTGACCTGCAACAATGTGTTCCAGGACTTTGGCAAGGAAGGATAGATTGGAAATGGTAGTGTGAGAGATTAGAGGGATAGAGGATGGATTTTTTGAGGAGTGGTATGGTAACAGCAGTTTTATCCTATACAGTAAAGGTTCACACATGAAGATTCAAACAATGTTAATAATACAGGATTGCATGTGAAAGAGCAAATTTTAATTAAAGCTGACAATTTCTCATAACTATTTTCATCCTGAAAAGAGGTAGTACAAGCCCTTGCAGGACATGTAAATTGCTGATGTCTAAACATTTCACATTGGAATGCAACCTAATTGGGAGCTGTGCTTAAATCCACCAATTGATTACCTTAAAATTCCATCTGAATATAATAGTTGTTCACAATTCATGACTACAGTATTATAACAAGTACTTGCATACTAGCGACCACATTTGTATACAAAATAATCATTGCCTTTACAGTAAATCCTGTGAAAGTACTTTGAGCCATGCTCCTCATATGAAAGGCTCTATATCAAATGAAAGGATTTATTAATAACTACCTTCACATAGAATAACTTCTCAAAATGCTTCACAGAGACAATGAGAACCCAAGCAGGCTGGGCGATGGTTTTCGGAGAGGGTAGGAGAGAAGTGATTGAGATATAGCAGGCAAGGGTGTAGAGGCATTTTGTTAAGTCAGGATGAGGTTTTTAAATCAATTCATTTCAAAACTTACTTCATTTTTTTCTCTAAAGTCTAGCAGCAGCATTTCAAGGCAAATGCAGCAGAGAATTTATATACAGAAATGTTGCTCGAATGGTCCGGAACTGATTTTAAAAAAATGTAATCGGTTTGGCTTGTAGCAGATGACTGTGTTGGTGACCCTTGGCTTCTCTTCCTGGAGTGTGGTTTCACAGGGTACGATTGCCCTCCAGTTCCACGCTCAAGTTGTCATTATTCTTTTGTGAGCCTTGGCAATGAGTGTGGGCAGGTCCCTCGATTGTAAAGGGTATCACAGCTGAACCTGACAATGTACTTGCGTAAGAACTTTACAAGTATAGTGTTTAAGGAGGACCGTAAACCTGGCTGATTTCAACCTCCTATCCACAGCAATGCTAAGACAAAGATAGCCTCCCATCACAGACAAGAGGATTTTATTAACTTTACTTGCAAGAAAGACCATAAGCACCTCGCATTCAGTATCAGAGGTAAGGATGAAGGGGTCGGGGGGGGTGGCAGAGGTGCTGATTGATAGTGAAGAGGTGCTTGGAGTCAAAATCTACAGATGACTGTAGTTACAATCAGACTATAATTAATTTACCTTTACATTCCTGCCAGAAACAGCTCACGTTCTGGTCCGCTGTTGAAAGACAGGTAGTGCAGTTCTTTCTATCTTCGCAGATCCCTGAAAAATACATTAATTTTACATTTTAAATACAAAGTACATTTATTAGAGAGAGAACATGTAATATATCATTCACGTTATAAGCCATTTGGTTAGCCATGCTCTGTGCCCCCTTGCCTCTCTAGCCTTCTCTTGCTGTGGAGAGAGAGGTTCCACGGGGGTTGGTCGTCCTCCGGTACCCTGGCCAAGTGGTGAGCCCCGGCAGGGAGTGTAAGCAGGCCACTGGTTTGTAGAAGCATCATAGGCAAGCCTGAGCTCTGCCCACCCACCTACAAGGTACTATACAAGGACCAGGAGCACAAACGCTAGTTGGTTTTCCCCTTCCCGACCCTGATAGGCTGGGAACATCAGCCCCAGTCAAGACCAGCAAATTCAGCACAGGCTGGGATTCGAACCAGCAAGTTGCTACCTAGTCCATAAGCTGCAGCTCTACCCACTCACTACACCATTAGGGCTGCCCCATCATATAGCGACCCTTATGTTACATTCTACACATTTTAAAAGTATCTTGAGGTTGCATTCTACACATTTTACTGAAAATAGTGACAATTTTCACACCCATCCATCAGTTATTCTAAGTGGTCTGATACAAAACATGTGACTCACTCATACCAAGCTACTATTTCTCACCATCCTCATTTGGGGCATGAATGAAATATGACCCTCAGATACTGATTAACCTTGTGTTATTTCTAGCATTCCATTTACACTTGACATTCAGGATAATTTTTAAAAGCCACTATTGTATTAGCTTGGGTGTCTTTTTTTAATGAAGCCATTTCACTGATGTAACATTGGATATCAATAATATCAATAGCTACTTGAAGTGTAAGAAATGCACAATGTTCATTGGCTACTAATAGATTTTAAAGTAAATAGTCCTGGTCTTCTTAATGCCCACTTCACCAACAACCAGATTAACATGAAAAAAAATGCAACTGTGCACTTATCTTGTGAACCAGCTATCCCTGCACTATCCTCCAGTTGTTCTCACTAGTTACATAAAGTACAGCATATACTAGTACTAAGCAACTGCAGGCACATTACTTTCAACATAGACCCCAAGGCAGGTATGCTTTATTTTTATCTGTCCTCGAGATGATTTGCATACTTTTAAACCTATAAATAGGAATTTCAAATCCTGAAATAAACATTGCCTACTCCCTTGATTACAAGTTTTCTTTTCAATGGAAGCAGGCAAAAGCCAAAGTTTTCTTTTAGATTTTCACTGCAGTGTACGAATTACCAGCTCAAACCGCAGAGTAACAAGATAAATACTGTTGCGATGGCCCATCATTCAGCTCTAAAAGAGACCTTTTAAAAAACATGGTACAGCTAAGAAAGTTGCTTCTGAACAAAAGAACTTGAACAATACAAAGTGATCTACTCGTGCAATGCTCTTATTTGATTGGGTAATCCCAAGCAACGGCACAACAGATTAATGGGAAAATGTACTGTGCAATATAGCAGCATGTATGGCATGGCGTGCTGGAGAGCAGTTTGCCAATACTGGGCAGTGAGAGAAGAAGCCAGCCAAGCGCAAACCTCTCATGTCTGGTGCTCTGGCCACTCAAACCTGAGTATTCTGATGTTACATTCTACACATGGCTGCATATGCCAAGTCAAAAATAATTCAGTCGCGTTATTGGCCAAATATGATGGCGTTTCAAAGGCAGCTTTAAGAGCTGGTAACAGGAGACATTACAGAATTATATCAAAGAGATAATTACTTGGTGAGGACAAGTTTGCAGGGCTATGGGGAGAGAGCAGGGAAGTGGGATCGATTTGGATAGCTCTTTTCAAAGAGCCGGCAAAGACCCGGTGAACCAAATGGCTCTTTCTAGCTGTATAATTCTATGAAAGACCAACACTATCTGCAGCTTTTTAAGTTATTGCACAATAAATTGGCTGCCCCGATTCTGCCCAGTCACTGCACTTTACAGTATATCCTATGAAGTGCTTTGGGGCATCCTCCTGAAAGGCACTATACAAAATGCAAGGATTGCTATTAAGAATAACTTCTTTCAACATAATGAAATATGCTTGAGATGCTATTCATTTAAATAGATTATCAACTATGCATTGACCTGGAACCTAATCACATTCAAATTCAGTTCCTTTATATTATTACACTTTAATTGTTTACATATTTAATTTGTTTCAGTATGCATACCTTGATCTACATTTAAAAAAATCTGCCACACACAGTCACTGGTTGAGGTCACAAGCCTTCTGTCCATTTACACACAGCTTGTTGCAAATTGCATTTTGTAAATACCCTCCTCCAAGTCATTTATCCATCACGTTTGAAGACTCAGAACAGACAAACTCATGTAGGAATTGCTGATCTCACTTGAGATCCAAATTAATCCCCAAAATGTTGATGAACTGCCATTGCTGAAGCGATCTAGTTAAACTGGACTTGATCAATTTCAATTTCATAATCAAGCAGAAACCCTTTACTCCATACATCAACATTTTCTTTAAGATGAAAGTCAAGGAAAATTAATCAGAATTCTTAGCAAGTTTCCCTTGAAGTGACACTAACAGTACAAGGCAATCTGATTTTCGTTCCAGGAAAAGAGGGTTGCACCACGCAGTCACTGGCTGAGATCACAAGCCTTCTAGCCACACACAGCTTGGCATGATCTGCAAGTTTCGTTTTGCAAATCCCTTCCTCCAAGTCATTTATTTATGTCTTACGTGTGAAGAGCCAGAGCAGACACGTGTATAGAAATTGCTGAACTCATTTGAGACTCAGCCTAGTCACTGAATAAACATCCACCCACCCCCCACCATTGAATAACAGAACACCGCATGCAGATGAACACCACAAGATCACCCCCCAGTTACTGAAAACCACAAAACCATACACCCCCCCCCCGCACCACTGAACATACCCACTTCGCAGCTGAACATGACACCCCCCCCCCCCCCCAACTATCCCACCTCAGTGAAAACCATACCATTGCTGAACAAAACAACCTACACCCCAACATCATCACTGAACACACCAACCCCAACCGCCCCCCCCCCCACCACCCCCAAACCACACCTCACATCCCACATTATCTGATCCAGAGATTGTTTTTGTAAACAAATTTCATATTTCTTTTACATATAAAAAAAACTTTGAAAAAAGTTTAAAATCACAAATTCATCCTGTAGACATATTTGGCAATCAGGATTGGGAGACAATCACTCAGAAATAACTCTGGGAAAAAAGTAAAGAAAATGTCCTCAGACGATCCCTCTCCTTACCCCCTCCCCCAACACACACACACAGAGCTGTAACCCACAGCCATCTCACAGCAGCAGTTAGTCAGTAGGCCACAGGCCAGAGCTTGGGGTCGGTTGTTGGGTTGTTTTCAGTTACACATTGTTTGCAGAGTTGGATTTACCGAGTGGCGACACTGGCCGATACAGGGCAGGGCAGCCTGGGCAGGGCTGGGCTGGGCAGGGCAGCGCTGGGTTAGGCAGGGCTGGGCAGCCTGGGCAGCGCTGGGCAGGGCAGCCTGGGCAGAGCTGGGCAGGGCAGCCTGGGCAGAGCTGGGCAGGGTTGGGTTGGGCAGGGTTGGGTTGGGCAGGGCTGGGCAGGGTTGGGTAGGGCTGGGCTGGGCAGGGGCTGGGCTGGGCAGGGTTGGGTTGGGCAGGGCTGGGCAGGGTTGGGTTGGGCAGGGCTGGGGCAGGGTTGGGCAGGGCTGGGTTGGGCAGGCCTGGGATGGGTTGGGCAGGGCTGGGTTAGGTTGGGCAGGGCTGGGTTGGGCAGGGTTAGGTTGGGCAGGGCAGGGTTGGGCAGGGTTGGGCAGGGCAGGGTTGGGCAGGGCAGGGTTGGGCACGGCAGGGTTGGGCAGGCAGGGTTGGGCAGGGCAGGGCTGGGCAGGGCAGGGCTGGGCAGGGCAGGGCTGGGCAGGGCTGGGCAGGGCAGGGCTGGGCAGGGCAGGGCAGGGCAGGGCAGGGCAGGGTTGGGCAGGGCAGGGTTGGGCAGGGCAGGGCTGGGCAGGGCAGGGCTGGGCAGGGCAGGGTTGGGCAGGGCAGGGCTGGGCAGGGCAGGGCAGGGCAGGGTTGGGCAGGGCAGGGTTGGGCAGGGCAGGGCTGGGCAGGGCAGGGCTGAGCTGGGCAGGGCTGGGCAGGGGCAGGGCAGGGCTGGGCAGGGCTCACTGGGGTTACAGGCCAGTCACAGGCGTAGACGGGGGTTTTCAGGCTACAAGAGCAGTGCAAGGCTCGCTGTCCTGCTTACAGGCTGGTTACTGTCCTGGTTACTAGTTCCAGGCTGGTTACAGTCCGGGGTAGACTAGTTCCAGGCTGGTTACAGTCCTGGTTGCTAGTTCCAGGCTGGTTACAGTCCGGGTTAGACTAGTTCCAGGCTGGTTACAGTCCGGGGTAGACTAGTTCCAGGCTGGTTACAGTCCGGGGTAGACTAGTTCCAGGCTGGGGAGAGCCTGTGGCGCAGTGCCGGGGTGGTGGCTGCTGTATGTACTGACCTGCACCCAGGCTGAGGCCCGCACACAGCAGGAGGGCGGCCAGGGCCCCGCACACCAGCGGCCAGTGCATGACGAGCGGAGAGGCCATCAACCCGGCGAAACCCAACAGTGAGCGAGTGAGCGGCGGCTTTCCTCTTCTCACAGAGATCCCACACCGGGAATCAGCCTCAGCTCCACACAGCCCTCGCGCTGGGAATGAACTGACTTCCTGCTGTAACTCATGTGACTGCGGCGCGGGCGGACAGGGGGCGGGGCTGAGGGCGGGCAGGGGGCGTGGCTGGGTGGCCAGGGGGCGGGGCTGGGGGCGTGGCTGAGCGGCCAGGGGCGGGGCTGAGGGCGTGGCTGGGTGGCCAGGGGCGGGGCTGGGGGCGTGGCTGGACGGCCAGGGGCGGGGCTAAGGGCGTGGCTGGGCGGCCGGGGGGCGTGGCTGGGTGGCCAGAGGGCGTGTCTGTGGGCCGGTAGGGGGCGTGGCTGGGTGGTCTGGGGGCGGGGCTGGGTGGCCAGGGGGCGGGGCCGTGGCGGCAGTGGATAGGCTGTGGGAGTGGGGTGGGGGCAGTGAGGCTGTGCAGCGATCAGCAGCGATCCTGGCAATGCTTTGCTGAATGTATGAAAGCAATGGTTTGAACGTTTGGCTGCTGCATCCTCCCAGGATGTTACATTTGGAGATGACACCAAGTTGGGAGCACTGTGGATTCAGAGCAGCAGCAATGAGAGCTTCATAGAGCTTTCTCCAACTCAACGTCAGCAAGACCGAGGCCCTCCTGATTGGCTCGCACCAGCGCCTCCGCACCTCGGGCGCTGGCAGCATCAGCCTCCACGGCTGCACACTCAACCCCACTAAGTCAGTCAGGAACCTGGGTGTCTTGTTTGATGCTGAACTGTCCTTTCTCCCCCACCTCCGTGCCATGACCGACACTACCTACCACCACCTCCGCAACATTGCCAGACTCCGCCACTGCCTCACCCCTCAGGCTTCCGAAACCCTCACCCACACATTCGTCACATCAAGGCTCGATTACGGGAACTCCCTCCTCATCGGCCTTCCCAACTCTTCCCTTCACAACCTGCAGATCATCCAAAACTCTGCAGCCCGTGTACTCTCACGCACCAGGCTCTGTGACCCCATCACTCCCACCCTCGCCCGACTCCACTGGCTCCCCATCCCCCAGAGGATCGAGTTCAAGATCCTCGTCCTCACTTTCAAGGCTATCCATGGCCTTGCCCCCTCCTACCTCTCTGATCTGCTGACTCCCTACCAACCTGACCGCTCCCTCTTTTCAGCGGGCTCTGGTCTGCTCCATGACTCCCGCCCGACCTGCCCTTCCACACTCTGGAACTCCATCCCACGATCCCTTCGCCTCGCTTCCCTCCCTTGTCTCCTTCAAGGCTGGTCTCAAGACCCTTCTCTTTGATTGTCGCCCTCCCACCTCTCTGCCTTCCCTCACCCCTACCCTTGTGGAGTCCTGTAGCTCAGTGGTTAGAGCACTCGCTTTGCAAGTGAGAGACCTGAGTTCAATTCCAGGCAGAGGGCGAAACCTTGGGCAAGTTTCCTTACTCCACACGCCTAATAATAATCCCTCCAAAAAAACAAAACAATAATAAATTGGCCATTTTCAATCCACGACTGTTTGTGGGACATTGCTGTGCTGCCGCGTTCGCCCACAAATATACAGTCAATTCACTTTACAGTGTGTTCTGTGAAGCGCTTTGGGACGTCCTCCCGACGTGAAAAGCACTATATCAAATGCAAGGATTATTATTTTTATTATTATTATTACCCCACCCCTCCCCCATGCTTGGGTCCTGACCCCTCACTGTTCAGCCCTTTGGGACGTCCTCCCGACGTGAAAGGCGCTCTATAAATGTAATTTTGTTGTTGTTGTTGTTGAATACCCACATGCATGCACAAGCTGTGTACTCAGATGCTAAAGTGAGGTCCTGTCTGCCTGTTCCGGAGGATGTGAAGAAGCCTATGAAACTATTCCAAAACAGAAAGCATTTCTCCTGAGGTCCGGGCTAGAAAACCTCCAGAGAAAATTTGTCATTCACTTCAAAGATGCTAGTGGACATTTTTGTATGTAAACCTGCTGCTACATTTGCCTACACAATGCATAGTCACTATTTTAAGTAAGTTTACAGTAAATCTTGTGATCACTTTGAGATGTTTTGACAACAAGAAAGGTGCGGTGCTATAGCAAATCAAGGATTATTATTATTTTCTGAATCAATCTTGTGATGCCTCTTTTTGTTGTTTTTGGTGAGCAGATGGATTTGGGTTACAGTGGATTACCTTCTAATTTTCTATTTTTCTCCCATTTCTTGCACACCTCTTTGATGCCAACCACTGCCCCTATGACTACTACTGTGGAGTCCTGTACCTCAGTGGTTAGAGCACTCGCTTTGCAAGTGAGAGACCTGAGTTCAATTCCAGGCAGGGCGAAACCTTGGGCAAGTTTCCTTACTCCACACGCCTAATAATAATCCCTCCAAAAAAACAAAACAATAATAAATTGGTCATTTTCAATCCATGACTGTTCGTGGGACAATGCTGTGCGCAATTGGCTGCCGCGTTCGCCCACAAATATACAGTCAATTCACTTTACAGTGTGTTCTGTGAAGCGCTTTGGGACGTCCTCTCGACGTGAAAAGCGCTATTTCAAATGCAAGGATTATTATTATTATTATTATTATTACTAATAATAATCCTTTGATAAAATAATATGATAAACCTTGCTTTTGATATAGCATCTTTACACATCTTTGAGACGTCTCAAAGCGCTTTACAGGATATACTGTAATATACTGGAAAGTGAATTGACTGTATATTTTGTGCACGAAACACGGCAGCCAATTGTGCACAGCAGTGTCCCACAAACACTCGTTTGTTTTTAAGGAATTACTACCCTCAGAAAAGCGATCTGCCAATCGACTTAACAACTAGGTTTCTATCTACTGCTAGGTAAACAGGCGTGTGGAGTAAGGAAACTTGCCCAACATTTCGCCCTGCTGTGACTCAAACCAGGTCTCTCGCTTGTGAGTGCTCTAACCACTGAGCTACAGGATTCCACAAATAGCACCATTCAAGCCTTGGAGATGTCTCAAAGTGCGTCACAGGATATGCGGTAAAGTAGTTTTGACTGTATTTTGTGAGCGAAGCATGAAAGCAAGTTGCATCCATCAATGTCCTACAAGCTGCCATGGAGTGAGTGATCAGTTTTATTTGAGGGATTGTTGGCCAGGGCACCAGGAGAAACTGCCTTCTCTTTTCGAATAGTGTCATCTTTATCGTCCATCTGAACAGGCAGATGGGCCCTTGGTTTCATCCAAAGGATTTGTGCAGCATTTACTGACCACTGGAAAAAGGACAAGATTGGCCCATTTAATAACAACTGTCACTCTAATTTTGCTTCCCTTCTTTTTGAGAAAGTGACAATCTGCAGTGCGCCTCCTCCACTGATTGGGTTGGGAACTCAGCACGGTGGGGAATTAAACTTGTATTGCCCACTCCATAGCACCACACTTTAGTTCTTTAACAAACATCCATTCTGAGCTTGCACCCTAGAGTCATCTCTTTGATAAATTACTATTAATTAATGATTTATTTCCTTCTGCATGAGACCCCCTGACAACAATCTATCTATAGTTAGAAAAAACCTTACATTTAGTATTGCGTCTTTCATACCGAGAGGATATTCCAAAGTGTTTCACATAATAAAGTGAAGTGCAGTGACTATGTGGGTGAAAGCAGCATCCAAATTTGCACACAATGTTGTCCCACAACTGGCCATGGAATAAATGTCCAATTTTAACAGTGGCATTGTTGGCTAGGACATTGGGAGAAACTCTCTTATCTTTCCAAATAGTGCATTGGAACTTTAACGTCCACCTGAAAGGCAGGCGGGGCCCATGGTTTAACGTTTCATCCAAAGGACAATACCTTAGTCTGGTGGGTAAACAGGAGAAAGGTCTAGGCTAATTTACTTTCACACCATGCGGGTAAACATGATATTCAGAATTTAGTAATTTCTCACCTGCCAACACTGAGTGCCTCAGTTTGTAGAAGCACAAATGTTTTTTTAATCCATTTTTTAACCTCCTTCATTTGTAAGTTCACCATAAATATGAATCATAAATAAGTTCACAAACAGCTGCCTCTATGGCAGCCAGTCATAACCGTGCTGGAGCATTAGATTTTTTAAATCAGTCCCGACTGATTTAGAGTCAGGTATTCTCGAAGGATTGACATTTGTTGAATCATGGCCAATCATCATCTTGACTGAATCAGTTACAGCTTGGAAACTCAGATAAATTGGCAGGCGATCAGGGAAGTGTTTCTTGTTTCATTGTTCCAGCAGGCCTCCAAGAAGCTGCATTGGTGGAGGTGTTTGTGGAGTTGACATCAATCAGAAAGCATGGCAAAGAAGAAAAAGGATTTTGGGGGAAAAAGTGATCTGACATGTACTCAGAAAAAATATATATCATTTTGCAAAGTTTACAATGATATTGGGACTCTCAGAGAATTGATTCTTTGTCAACCAACACTGCTTTCAGAATTGGATAATCCCAGTTTTGTGCTATTCATTCAGTACAATAATTGAAGCAGAATAAGTGGTGCAGAATGGGAATTGACAAGAAAAATATCATATCACTCAAATTTAAATTGCATTGATTCCATTCCAAGTCCCGATCCCCAAACCTCTTGCAATTGAATCAGTGCATAGCTTGCAGTATAGCTCAGGTAATATTCTTCATTTTATTAAAGAACCTGTTGCACTCATCGTTCTTGAACAATATAAGGCACTATATAAAATGCAAGCACTATTATTATATTTTNAAAAAAACTCACTGGCATTTGGCACATTTATGTGATGTTCTGTGCTTAAGCAGAAAATATAAACCCTGCTTTCTTCTTGAATTGAGTTTTGAGTTCAAGATCCTTGTCTTCACTTCTAAATCCTCCTTAGTCTATCCACACCTTACCCCTGGAACCTTCCAAAACCCTACCAACACACGCACTCACTCTGCTCGGCCTGTTTCACGTTCCTCTTCTCTGCCCACCCTACCACCGGCAGTCAGGCTTTCATCCCAGAGTCCCTTCACCTTACCACTTCCCTCGCTTTCTTCAAGGTCCACAAGCCAAAGTCATAACGGGTAGGGTGGTCCTAGCTGGACAAGCAGTGGTAAAGTTTGCCGGATAGCAATATCAATGGCACGTTATGT